CAGATGGCATCTATAAGCCCATCTACCTATCCACCATCTCTCCAAATGGCATCTATAAGCCCATTCCCGACACCACATTATTGAGACTCCAGCATGCGAGTGCAAATTTCCGGGCACTCTAGTGTCCAATCTCCTTTTACCCTCGAGTCACGAAAGGCAAACTTGCCAATCTAACTCTTCAGGTTCAAGAAGATTGAACAGGGGCAACTGTTGTACCCCAAAATTTGCCCTCCCATTTCCTCAACATTTTCTCATCACAAGACCTTTGAAGATCAAGATCCAGTTAGGGTTTCCTCTGCTCAAGACTTCTCCTTGCACTGTGGACTCAAATTAGGGTTTGTGCTTGCCCAAGGATGTTTTGACCTAAAATGCCTAAGATGACTTTCATGCTTCATGTTGGACTCCCAAGTTTATCCTCACCAAGTTTCAAATCTTGATTCCAAGTTTTGCCCAGTCAATTGGACAGTTGACCTAGAAATCAGCTGTATTGGGGAAAAAGTCAACTGTGGCCAATTGACAGTCAAATCTCATGAAATTTGATCCACATCAACATTATGAACTCATATTGACCATTTGATCAAGTTTGGATCACAATTCCACAAGAAATTTGATCAGATCATCAAAAGGGCAAAATGGTCATTTTTAGGGTTTTGACTGCACAAAGGCAATTTTTGACTGTTTGACCTAGCCAATGGCAAACCAAGTTCACATAGGGACTCAAGGACTCAATGAAATGGTCTTGACACATTCATCAAGCTCAAAAGACCCCAAGTACACAAGATTGACAGTTGAATTTCCCAGTCAATTGATCAATTTTGACTGTATACTGAAAAGTCAAACTTTGACTTTTTGGTCAAAATCAAAAGTCAAGATTCATTTTTCATCAAAACATGCCAAATCATGAAACTTGTTCACCAAGAAATCACAAAATGCAAATTAGGGTTTGAAAATGGAATTTTTCATAACTTAGAATTTTTCTAAGTTATGAAAAACCCTAATTTTTTCCCAACTTTGCCCCACCTTTTCACCAAGATCCATTTGGATTCAAACAAAAGTCAAAACATGAAAGTTGTAGCTTGTTGCATAATCTACAACTTTGGTTCACAAAGTTTTCTCATTTGAAGCTTGTATCTCAAGTTACAATTTTTTGAATAAGGGCACTAAACCATTTTTAACTTAGTGAAATTTTAACCTATTTTGACAAGGTTTTCTACCCCACTTCAAGGCCACTTTTCATACCCTTCCACTTGGAATTTTAATTTGCATTTCAAAGATGGATTGTAGTACACATTCCAAGCTTTCCAAAATGTCCAAGAACTCATCAAACAACCTCATAACTTGAGAGATTCGAATTTCACAAGTTGGCAAAAATTCACTTTTGTTCTTCATCAAAACATGTTCAGAACTTTGCAAATTTGAACTCAGCTTGCTTTATGCTTGATTACAGGTCCTTGAACCATTCCATACTCAATAATTTAATGCATATTCAATGTGTTAAGATGTTGTTCTTTGAGTGCAAGTATTGTATGCAAGATTAATCCTAAACTAGATAAAGTGCTTTATCCATTTTTGTAAAAAGCTAGCTTTATGTCAAATTGAAATCCAAGCAAGTACAGTTAGGATCTCATGGGCACAAGATTATGGGCAAATTGCTTTGATCAAGAGAGGCTTATGCAGCAGGATTAGAGGCCCCTACTGACCTAAAACACCAAGTGACCATTGCTTGCTTCAAATTCAAGTAACATTGCATAACTTGCACTACAAGAAAATTAGTGTTTAACGACACAAAAATTGCGACAGTTATGTGATAACTGTCGTAATTGACATATAGAGACAATGTTTACGACAGTTGACACCAACCGTCCCTAAAATTTATTTTGCGACGGTATATTTAACCATCATAATATTATTATTACGACGGTAAAACAACCGTCGGCCCCCATTTAACACTTTTAACATTGATTTTTCACCAACAATTAGTCACGACGGTAAAATTAACCGTCCTAAAAGGCATATCACGACGGTAAAGCACCCGTCGCACCCTTAAACCTTTCACGACGGTAAAATTATCCGTCCTAAAATTCATTTCACGACGGTAAAACAACCGTCGCACCCAAAACCTTTAAAAATCTCTTGCTAACTTATATATTTTATCTAATTATAATTGTTATGTATATTTAAGTTCTCTCTTGTTAAGGTTAAGTTTATGCATTATTATATATTCTATGAAGTTGATACATTCTAATGTCCTCATGCGTCACTATTCTTCGAACATCTCTCATCTTCCAACTTCGAACATCTCTCATCTTCCAACCGGTAAGTTTTCTATAACACATTTTCTTTGTTCTCATCTTCACATATCTCTCTCATTCTTTAACATTGATTTCACCATTGGAGATTCACATGAATCTTAGGGTTGAGCTCTTTGTGATTCAAACATCACAACAAGCATTCATATCGACATTAAACCCAATCACCAACAATAAACCCTAAAACCCCAATTTATTCACGATTCAATGAGCAATACAAGTTACAAGCATGGTGGGTTTATTTATTATGTCAATGTTGTTAGTACCATTACTTACCTGAAGCTAATTTTAGCAATTCTAATTCATCCAGGTGCTTTTTGTTTCACCCGAGCGGTTTTTGAATAAGGAGTTTCTGTCTGCTATCTCTGCTGGGTCAGCTGTCTCACTCGTTGTTATTGACGAAGCACATTGTATATCTGAATGGTGAGGGATTTCAGTGCCGCATTGTCTAAGCAAATTCTTCCAAATCATGTTGTTAATTTGGAGATCTCACTTTGTATGCATCTACTTCCATGTTGATATTTAGATTTTGAGATTTTTTTACAGGTCTCACAATTTCCGACCTTCATTCATGAGACTTAGAGCATCACTACTTCATAGAAGTCTTAATGTAGGTTCTGTTCTCGCAATGACAGCAACTGCTACAACCACAACCTTAGATGCCATCATGTCTGCCCTAGATATTCCTTTTACAAATCTTATTCAGAATGCACACTTAAGGGACAATTTGCGTTTGTCGGCGTCTTTGATAAAAAATAGGCAAGTCAGATGCTTCTATTTTACCGCTTCTGACTGTACTCCCTTTAACTTTCCTTCTCTGATTTTGTTAAACGTATGCATCAATGATAGAATGAAAGACCTACTGGTTCTGATAAAGTCTCCTCCTTTTGCGGATGTTAAAGGCATCATAGTATACTGCAAATTTCAGGTGTGTATATGGACTTCATTTTCCAAATTTTCTGGTACTTGATTTCAGAGTTATGTTGTTTTATATAGTCATCTGCATTATACAACAACAACAACCACAGTATTTGAAATGTACAACCTTGTTTGCAAAGTAAAAGTTATTAAGTTCTTTATGTTTCAGGTTTAGTATGTGTCTAATTACTTAAGTTTGCAAGTAATGTTATTTTGCAGTGGATATCATATTATCATATATATTTATATATGCGATAATTGATTTTTTTTTTATTCAGTCTGAAACTGATCAAATTAGCAGATACTTGAATGATAACAATATCTCGGCAAAGGTAAGCTCCACATTTCACTTTTTGACATTGCATGGCATTCTGTGTAAGTGTAACCCACGTCACTGTATGTGAAATCTGATAATTGATTTGAATCATCATTTAGAGTTATCATAGTGGTATTTTTGCAAAGGAACGTGGCAACGTACAGGAGTTGTTTGCTTCAAACAAGATCAGAGTGGTTAGATTTATTTTATTGTTTTAATCACTCAATTTATCAATTTTATGGTGCAATGCTTCTAATACAACATTGCTAGTCCAACTCATACCTTGCAATTTTTTTTATGAAGGTTGTTGCAACTGTGGCATTTGGTATGGGACTAGATAAAAGAGATGTTGGAGCAGTAAGTCTTATATTATATTTTATTTTTGCATTAGTTTGCATGATGACCCACTTTTCTCATTGTGCTCTTGTTGCAAGGTGACCCGCTTTCTCTGTGTCTATGTTTTAGACCTTTGTTATCTAGCTGTATCAGAAACAATCGAGTTTTTTCTCAAAAGTTATTTATTGTTAGAAATTTCAAATTGCAAAATGGGGGTAAATGGTAATGGAGAACTGAGCTCTTTACTTCGTCTCTGTTAATGCAAATGTTCTGATAGCCACATTTTACGTAAGGCTGTTTTTCTTAGAACCACTATGCAATCTGTAGTCACTTTTATCTTTGTTTTTCACACTACCTCATTTGCTTTGAAATGTGAATGGTCTTGTGTGTTACAATAATTCTTATTGAAACTCCATTGTCATAACTGTGTTTAGGTAATTCATTACAGTTTACCTGGAAGTCTGGAAGAGTATGTACAGGTATATGATGTCTTCTAAATTCTAAATTCTGATAAATAGTTTTGCATAGATTGATTAAGGGAGCAGAGAAATGATTTGAGTTGGAATTCAAACTTGAGCAGTAAACCTGAATGACAGGTCTGTGTTAACAAGGTTATAGGTTCTGAGTGTTCATAATCTTGTGACTGAGTGTTTAATTCCATTTGATCTTTGTCACTGAGTGTTTATAATCTTGCTGGGTATATCCCTACTTTGTGAGGTAAGTGAATTATTTAGTTAGGTGTCCAATGAGTTCAGTTTAGTTCCTCTATTTGTTTTGAAGTTTTTCTGTTGAATAGTTTATGTATAGGTTGCTATCTATTAGTTGATTGTTAATTAAAAATGTCAAATCAAGTCTTTGGCATGGCAAAGTCATGTGTATTCGAAGGCATGGATAAGTTATATCTAATTACAGTGTAACGACTAGCTTACTACATTGTCATAGTGTATTATAGATAGGAATATGATGTCTCTTGATTACTATTCACTAGAAACGCCTTTGTGAACCTATTTTGTTGTTGGAGAGAACAGAACATACACGATCTTATAGGAATATGTTGGAGCCACCGAACTCAGCACTGCTACGTCGCTTCTTCAACAGCTTTTTGTCGAATTTCAGCTTAAATGGCTGGCAGAGGATATGGACGAGGACGAGGACGCGGCGGATTTCAAAATTATGCACGACCAGAGCCATTTGTACTTTTTCCCGAGGTAACATATTGTGCATCTTTTCCGAGTATGTATTTCTATTCACACTTCGTAATTAACTATTTGCTGCTTAATGCTCGTCTTTAACAATCTGATGTTACAGGATATTAATTTGCCTGATGCAAAACTCGGCGAAAATGTTGCTAGTATGAAACATTTGATTATATGGGATTTGAGTTTTGATAGTTATTTTAAAGCGGCTCCTTATCTCTTGGACGACACCGAATCAAAAGGTTCGAATTCAATTGCCTTTACATGATACATATTGGCAGATTGTCATTACAAAATCTGAGATTTCCAATACATATTGTTTCATTGTCAGGGTGCAAAAGGATGCACGTAGAAAGATTTTCTGACAAGAAGAAGATCGCGTTCACTCGTGATTCGCTGTCTCAGGTTTTATATTACGACGAATTTGTTAAGGAGTTGGTTCCAGGTGTGAATAATGGGATAGGCTTTTAAGGCAGTGGTTGTGTTTTTATTTTATTGTAGAAAAATGCTTCTACTTTTCGTTATGCATTTGCGGTTCCTGGTAACAAGTAATTTAGTCCGAAAGTTGATTTCAGGTAAATCTAAGCAGATGCTGAGCCGGAAAAAGTTTCGATGGAACCCTGAAGCTGGTGATTTCTTATGAACTTTTTCTTTTTATTTTATCAATCTATTAATTATCTGTAAATGTTAGTCTAGTTATGATATGAATCTCTGTTTTACTCATAATAATGATGAAGCCTTGTTATTTTTACTTTATACTGATTAAGATATTTGTGTGGCAGATGCGAGAAAACTGGCATTCTTTGAAGAACTAGAGAAAAAGTTCCTGGTAGAGAACCTATGCCTACAATTCTTTCCTTTATTTTTTCTTGTTAACAAGGCAGGGTTAACTCATTAGTTTTAGCAGGAAATATTTTCTTGTTTGATTTACATTGTTGGCTTACCTACATTTTATCTAGTGAAATTCTATGTTGACGATTCTTCACATTTAGGCGGAAGAGGGTAAAGATAAAAAGAAGAAAAAAGAAGAAAGTGAAGATGCGACATTTTGTGATAAAACTTGAGCGACATTGTTAGATGCGGTTCATAATATAGTCGGACGCGTGGTTTTAAATCACACTGCAATTGCAGTCCAATACGGTTGTGGAAGCTACTGCATTAGCAATATTACAGCCGCAATTGCGTTGCGGACCGCAATTTATAACCATGGTCAGTATTATGATAAGAACATGATTGAAGCTTGAAACTGTGTTTTAGGACACCGAAAAATGGCTATAATATTGGCTGCATCTTCTGCTGTCTTGGCTCTTCTTTTGGTTACTGCAACAATGGGTTTCTTTATAAGAAAGAATGTAATGAGGAAAAGAAGAGGTACACATGTTTAATATTTAAAGACTGGAATTACTTTTTTCCAAAATACTTGTGCTAAAAGTTATTGCTATGTGTGTGTGTTTTTTTACTAGAGAGAAAACAATTTGGGACACTTTTGGATACAGTGAATAAATCCAAGCTAAATGTTCCATATGAAATTCTTGAAAAAGCAACAAATTACTTCAATGATGACAATAAGCTAGGACAAGGAGGATCAGGTTCAGTTTATAAAGTATATTCTGATCTTATCTTATTGTAACTTCTTACAACCTTATTGTTGTTAAGTGCTTATAGATTTTTCCTTTCATTTTAGGGAGTTATGCCAGATGGTAATACTGTGGCTGTTAAAAGGCTTAGTTTTAACTCGACGCAATGGGTGGATCATTTCTTCAATGAGGTTAATTTGATTAGTGGAGTTCATCACAAAAATGATGAGAGAAGAAAGAATACTTACACGTCGGAGTCACTCCGCCAACGCTTCAATCGTGATTCAGGTATGCATTCTTAATTCCTCATTCTTCTATTATTTCCGATTCACACGTATTTTCTATTGATTCGGTACAATTCAATTATTGAAGTTTGTTGTTGTGATTGGTGTTGAAATAGAGGGAATGCTTCAAGCTTGAAGTCGCGATGATGCCATTGATGATGAAGGTTGACGAAGCTGTGTAGAATATTGTAGAGAGGTTGTGTATAGTTGGCTATTAGGATGGGATGGCTTTAGATTTGAATGAAACTGAGAGTTAGTTGCTGATTGTAATTTGAGTTAGCTAATTGTTAGTGTGAAAAAGAGTTAAAATCGTCAATATTATTAGGGCCTGACTGTTAGGAATATCAATTGAAATGGATAACTGTTAGCTTAAAGTTGTTAGAAATTGTTATGTGAGGGATTAGGTTTGTGAAGTGGATATTTAAATTGACTTGAATCTATGTGATTGACTGAATCTATGTAATTTTGTAGAATATTGTAACATTTTTTGTAATTCTCTCAAGTTGTAGCAAACCAATGTAAATATTAAAATGAAATTTGGCCTTTGATGATATTTGAATTTTTCTTGTTTATTGGTAAAATTTGCACTTCTTTTTACCTTTGATCACATTTTTTTGATATTATTGATGATTATTTGATATTAAATGTTTTTATTGTAATTAACTTTATTATGTTGAAAAGTGATAGAAAATAAAATAAAAATACTATAAATAAAAAAATATTAAAGTAAATAATAATTTAAATATAATAGTAAAATATTATAGTAAAATAATATTATATTTAAAATTATTTTACTAAATAATAATTTAAATAAAAATATTATTTGAAATTTATAAATCAGATTACGACGGTTAAAACCGCCGCAATTTCTAACCTACGACGGTAGAGTAACCGTCGCAAACAACAACAAAAACAAAAAATAAAGTCAAATTCAGGACGGTATATAACCGTCGCTATCTGTTGTGCGTGACAGTTTTTGCAACCGTCGCGAAATAGGCTGGGGACGCACGATTCTGCGACGGTACTTCTACCGTCGTAGATTGTAAATTGCGACGGTTTTAACCGTCGTAATCAGCCAAAATAACCGTCCCAATCTATCATTTTTCTTGTAGTGTTGTACCAACTCTTTCTTCAGCATAGAAACACAAGAACAAAGTTATCAAACATCTTCCATAGAACCTAACCAAGCCAAGACACGACCCTTGCACCTCCAAAACACCCTCCATCTCAGAATCATCCTCAAACTGCAAAAACAGAGTTGCCTCTGCAGTTTGAGTGCCAACTCCCATTTCCCTCGAGCATTCTTACCAAAATCAATCCATACACATTCCCTAGCATATATGCAAGCTAACCATGATCTAAAACCTGACCTGTAATCCCTCTAACAGCTTCCACCATTTTCATTTTTTCCTTTTGCAGGTGAAGTTCTATAGCTTGATACAAGAAGTTACAAGACAAAGTAAGCATTGAAAAAGCATCCCTGGACCTCAAGGAAGCTTTTCCAATCATTACCTTGCACTAGAAGTTCCTCATTCTCCAGATAGAAGTTCAGCTGCACAGGTAAAACTTTGAACTCGTATCTCTCTTATCATGCATCTTTAGTCTTAAGTTTGTGAAGAAACAAGGTTCTACTCATAGCCCTGAGCATGTACATATCTTTACATTTCATTTCTTTTGCCTGAGTAGAGAGAATTTGTAGTTTGAAAATGGCAGAAAAACTAGGTTAGGATTTGGGGGAGGAGAAATTCTCCCTCATCTTAGAGAGTTAGGTCAAGTTCCATACATGGTTAGAACCGTCTCTTCATGCTGAACATTTGTTGTGTTATGAGTTTTTGCTGAAAAGCCAGGAATCGAGAGTTGGACATTGAAGAACAGGGGCGCGCGTTTTTTTTTTAATTTTGTTGCTGGAGGTTGAAGACAGTGTTCTTTGGGCTGGGCCTGTATATCTTTTCTTATTCACACCACTTAATTGCTATTACACCCCCTGAGCCCATTTGCTTTATTTTCATTCTTTTTTGACTTTTTCTTTTTTGATTGACTTTGTTTATTTTTTTCTCATGACATTAAAAAAATAAAAATATTTTTTCCATCATTTTTTGAATATATGGCATATTTATTTGATTTATTTCTTTTGTTTGTATATAAATATTATATATATACTATTATTAGAATAAATAGAAAAATAGTGTAAATACATTTTTTTTATTTTTTATTTACCTTCTGAAAATATTCCACATAAAAAATACCTTTTTATTTATTTTATTAAATATTAAATATTTTGCACATAATGCATATTTAAGAATTAATATATATATATATAGATATATGTTTATTAATATATTTAAGCTAAAATATAAAAAATACTTGATCTTTTTTTATTTTTATTAATATTTGATACAAAATACCTTTTTCATAATATACTTCATTATTTTTATTTTTGTAAATAATAAATAAATGTTTGTATTAAATTAGATAATAATACATTTTCTTTAAAATTAGGGTTTTTGCCCTAAATTCAAAATACTCCAAAAAAATAATATAATTTTTATTTTCTTTTCTCTTTTACATAAATAATATTTTTTCATACATATACAAAACATTTCTTTTGCATCTTGCATTCTTATTTAATTTTTGTACATTGATTAAATTGCAAATATTCAAAATGATGTAATAATTTAGATTTAAATTCTTGTCAATATCCCCATTTGAACATTTGTACCCCCCTTCCCATATTTGGTTTTGTAATAGCTTAGTAAATTTAATTTCGCACTTTATTGCTTTCTAATGATAACATGTTAGAATTAGGGTTTGTATGCGAAAAAACGATAAAAAAAATAGTTATGACTTAATCTCAAGATAAATAAGCATGAAAATGGACACACAAATCACACTTGCACCCCTAGGGTATTCCACTTGTTGCCTTCAAATAAATGGGCCATATTGTATGTTGAACTTCTTTGGGCAAAGCAAACAATTTGAATGATCATAGTCCCTCGACAAAACTTTTCAAAACAAACAAAAACAAATGATCAAGTCCCTTAAAGAAAATGGCCCAAAGACATTTTAACGCCGTTGCAATTATGGTCTAAACGATGACCCGCGCCTGTCCCTTTCACATCCTAACACAAGATTGTCCACAAAATACAATGGTGGAACAAACTTGTTAAAAGGGTTAAAACATAGCAATAATCTTTTGAGAAATTTAGAAGTAGATGACCTCTTAGTTGCTTGAATCAAACTTGCAAAACAAAACACTTGCCTAATTTCAAAACCACACATCACTACACTTTCAAAACAACTTTCAAAAACAAATGAAAACTTTTTCAAAAGACATACATCTTTGTATACATCCCTACATGGATCATTACAAAGGTTGCCACCACATTGGCCTCTTTTCAAAATATTTTCAAGCCCACACACACAAAGCACCATTTCAAACAAATTGAAAACAAAAGGCAAGTGATCTAAGCAAGTAACTAAGAGCCCATGGATAACCATGGATAAAAAGGGTGCTAATACCTTCCCTTTCTATAATCTACTCCCCGAACCCAAGAAAACATCTCAAAAGGTTTTTTGCTGTGCTTTTTAACCTTTCCTTAGGATAAAATAAAAAGTCGGTGGCGACTCTTGCTCAACCGAAACATTTGCGAAAACAAACGCAAAACCATAGTCAGTTCTCCCACCGTATCACAGAACTGGCGACTCTGCTGGGGACTATTTTAAAAAGTGGAGTAACCTTAGGGTTTAGATCATCTTTGTTTTCAATTGTTTGCTTTGTTTGCTTTTATATTTGTGGGCTTTGCATCGGAGTTTCATAGATCCTAACCCGGATCTGGGAAATACCCTTTTTAGGTAGCATAATCTGTGAGGGACCTGTCCGGCGTAGACCGACATGGGTGAAGCAGTGGCTACGTTGGTGTGGCATCTTAGTCTGTACCTATATCCCTTGTGTTGCAACGGGGAGAGTATAGGTCTTCTAAGGGGTCATTTAACACCAACAAACCTTAGAACCCTAAATTGACCAACTTGGCTATTAGGACAGTAGCAGTATGCTACACTCATTGAGGCTAAACTCTCGAGATGGTTCTGGCTGCGAGAAAAGATTGCGATGCTGGAGTTATGACCGATTGAGGGTAGCCAATGATTTGAGATCCTCTAGAACCCGGTTACTTCTGATAAGACAGGTTTTAACCAACAAAACTAAAAGAGGGTAATACCTGAAACTCATGCTGGCCTGAAACCTAAGGGTGTCTTGTGTGACTTGTGTGCCTTATCTGCCTATGTGAATACTTGTGGTGTGCTTCATCATAGCATCATGCCATCATACCATTGCATGCATCCTGTATAAAGGACTAACCCATTTCAAAGACAAAAGAGTTTCATCTTTGCTCTGTTTTGTAGGACATCATGATGCCCGTGCGTAGAAATACTGTCCGGCTCAACTTTGTTCAACCACCAGTTTTACTCAAGGATTTGGTTGGAAGGATTCCAAACACTTCTTCCTTCATCAACAGACATGGTTCTCTCCTTGGCTTGATCACTGCAAAATGGGACCAACAACTGATAAGTGTTCTGACCCAGTTTTATGACCCTCTGTACCATTGTTTCACCTTTCAAGACTTCCAGCTGGTCCCTACCCTGGAAGAATTTTCTTATTTGCTTGGGATCCCTGTCTTGGAACAAACTCCATTCACTGGGTTGGAAAAGACTCCTAGGCCTGAAGAGATTGCTGCAATTCTCCCCTTGACCAAAGAAGAGGTATTATCCAACTGGGAGACTAGAAATGGGATCAAGGGCTTTTTGGTCAAATTTCTGGTTGGCAAGGCTAATGATTTCTGGAATGACTTGGACTTCAAGGCATACGAGGATATTCTGGCTCTTTTGATCTATGGTCTGGTATTGTTTCCAAACCCTGACACTTTTATCAGTATCCATGTCATAAGGATCTTCATGTCTCGGAATCCGGTACCCACTCTTTTGGGTGATATTCTACAACAACTCTATGCTCGTACTGCTCGAAAACGGGGAACTCCGTGGTGTTGTGCTCCTTTGCTAGTAAGGTGATTTATTTCGCACCTTCCTAAGTTCGTGCTGAAGAATGAAGAAGGAAAAGGTTGGGCTCGGAGGTTAATGTCT